ATCTCGACTTCTTTGTTCTTTACATGCTCTCGAATAAAGTGATGACGTGTATCAATATGTTTACTTCTTTCATGATGCACCAAGTTCTTTGCCAATGCAATCGCTGATCGATTATCGATATAAATCTCTGTAGGATTTTCTTGAGGAAATCCCAAAAACTTCAGCAAATTCCTTAACCATATTAAATGGCATATAGCTGAGTTGGCAACAACATACTCAGCTTCACAGCTTGATAATGTGACAATTGATTGCTTCTTGGATGACCATGTGAAAGATGTATCTCTTATGAAAAATACAATCCCTGTTATATTTTTTCTTTCATCCAGATTTCTACCCCAATCACTATCCAAGTAGCAGTAAGATTGAAATTTGTACTTGAGGTATAAAACATACCTTCATTTATTGTGCCTTTGATGTAGTGAAGAATTCTCTTAGCTGCATTCAAATGAGACTGGACTGGCTTCTCCATATATCTACTGATCAGTCTGACTCCGTAGAGTATATTTAGTCTGGTACATGTCAAGTACCTTAAGCTTCTTACCAAGCTTTTAAAGTAAGTTGGATCGACATTTCCAACTTTACTTTTCCTCAATTCCACTCCATTCTCAACTGGAGTTGATACCGAATTTGAGCTTTCCATCTTGAACCTTTCAAGAATATCTTTGGCATTACTATTTTGGGATACAAAAATCCCTTCTTCTTTCTGCACCACTTCTAAGCCAAGAAAATGTGTCATCAGACCAATGTCTGTCATCTCAAACTCTTGTACCCTGCTTTTCTTGAAGTCTTCGAGCATGGTAGGATTATTGTCGGTGAATATCAAGTCATCAACATATAGGCACACAAATAATATGTTGTCATCTACTTCTTTCTTCACATAAATTGCGTGTTCATATGGATATTTTTCAAATCCATTATCTTGAACATCTTGTCAATTCTAGTATTCCAAGCACGTGGAGCTTGCTTCAAACCGTAGAGGGCTTTCCTCAACTTGTATATTTTGCCTTCATTTTCAGCATCAATGTATCCAAGTAGTTGTTCAACATAGATCTCTTCTTCTAGGAAGCTATTCAGAAATGCGGACTTCACATCAAGTTAATAGATCTTCCATCTATGTTATGCTGCTAGTAAGATCATCAGTCTGATTGTCTCTAGCCGGGCTACTGGAGCAAACACTTCTCCATAGTCAATGCCTTCTCTCTGTTTGTAGTCTTTCACCACTAATCTTGCTTTGTATCTTTGCACTTCTCCTTTTGCATTCTTTTTTGTCTTATAGACCCATTTGACACCTATTGCTTTCTTGTTTTCTGGTAGATAAGTCAGCTTCCAGGTATCATTCTTCTCAATGGCATGTATTTCTTCATCCATTGCTTTTATCCACTTCTCTTCTATGATAGCTTCATTGAAGCTAAGTGGGTCGCTATCTACAAAGAAACAAAATAGAGTTGTATCTTCCATTACTTGAGTGGCGTCATATAGCTCTTCTAGATTTCTCATCCTCCTTGGTCCTTCTGATGAGGATGCTGATGATGGTTTTGGTAATGATGGTGTTGATGATGATTCTAACGTGTTTCTCCTATTGAATACAGGAAATCTATATACTGGACTTTGTGGCACATCTTCTGGTACTATTGGACCTTCTGCAAGTACTATTGGTACTTCTTCATCTTCAAGGATCAAATCAGTGCTGATCCATTTAACTGCTTCTTGGTCATCATTCCATTGCCAAGTTTTATCTTCTTCAAAGATAACATCTCTGCTCATAATTACCTTCTTGGTGATCGGATTATACAGCTTGTATCCCATTCTTCTCTCACCATATCTGACAAAGATGCATTTCTCGTTTTTATCATCAAGTTTGGTCCTTCTTGCATCTAGGATCTTTGCATATGCCACACAACCAAAGACTCGAAGATGAGTAACACTTGGTTTGTGACCACTCCATGCTTCATGTGGAGTTACAGCTTGCAAACTTCTGGTTGGGTAGCGATTCAGCAAATATACTACACATGATACAGCTTCAACCCAATATTGCTTGGGCAGTTTCTTTGCTTTGAGTAGACTTCTTGCCATATCAAGAATTGTTCGATTCTTCCTCTCAACTACACCATTCAGCTGTGGTGTATAAGCTGGTGTTGTCTGATATCTGATGCCTTGTTGTGTATAAAAGGCTTCAAACTCATTTACTGTATATTCTCCACCTTGATCAGATCTCACGATTCTGATCTTATAGCCACTTTGCTTCTCAATAATTGCTTTAAAATCTTTAAAACAATTGAACACTACTGACTTCCTCTTCAAAAAATATACCCATGTCTTTCTGCTAAAATCATCAATGAAAGTGAGGAAGTACCTATTTTGTCCAGTCGACATAGGCTTTATAGGACCACACACATCTGTATGTACTAACTCTAGTAGCTTGTTTGCTTTCCAGTTGACTTCTTTAGCAAAATTGGATCTGTGATGTTTGCTGAGGACACAACTCTCACAAACTTCTTCTAAATGATCAATGTGGGGCATACCTTTGACCATCTTCTTTCTTGCTAGCATCTTCAGACTTATGAAATTTAGATGTCCAAGCCTTAGGTGCCGAAGTCATTCTTCACTGTTGGTGATGACACTCAAACACTTTGCTGCATCATATTAGATGTTTAAAGGAAACATCTTATTCTTGGACATTTTCACATAGGCAATTAATCTCCCATTGTAGTCTGTAATTGTCAGATGACAATTCTTCATGTAAAGTGTATAGCCTCTCTCCACAAGTTGACCTATGCTCACCAAGTTCTGCTTTATGGCTGGGACATAGTAGATATCGGCGATGTAGCTATAATTGTCATTCTTCAACTTGATTGGGATGTTGCCTTTACCTTTGAATGGAACTTTTGACGTATCTCCAAAGGTGACAAAACCTTGTATGGTCTCATCTAGATCACCAAATAAATCTTGTTGGCCACACATGTGATTGCTGGCTCCAGAATCAAGATACCAAATATTCTCTTGATTCTTGTCAAGTCCTTGCTGGACAAATAATGCAGCTGCTCCTCTACTATTGAAATCCTCTTCTTTATAGTTGACTCGCTCACGTATCTCTAGTGGAGCTTTCTTTTGACATTTAGTGTTATAGTGGCCAAATTGATTGCAATTATAACACTGAATATTCCTCTTATCACGGTTATTGTAACCGCCTCCTCTTCCTCTAGGAGGGAATGCTTGTTGTCCTCAACCTCCTCTAGTGGTGTTTTTACCACCTCTTCCTCTAAAACCTGTATTCCAAGAACCTCTACCTTGAAATCGTTGAAATCCTCCTCGTGTTTGTTGACTTCTTCCTCGAGTGGTGTATCCACTTGTTGAATTCTCCCCTTGCTCATATTTGTCTTTGAGAGACAATTTTGCTTGTAAGGCATGCTAAATTGTCTTATCTCCATTTCTTTTTACAATCTTCTGCTCACGAGCTTGCAAAGAACTCATAAGTTCATCCACTGTTAACTTGTCCACTTCTTTGGACTCTTCAATATCGACAACAACAAAATCAAATTTTGGATCTAGGGATCTCAAAATTTTCTCAGTAATTCGAGCATCTGAAAGGGCTTCTCCATTTCTTCTCATTTGATTGACTATCACCATAATTCTTGTGTGATAATCAGATATGGATTCTGAGGACTTTATTTGTAACAATTCAAATTCACCTCGTAAAGATTGTAGACGAATCTTCTTTATTCTGTCAGCACCTTTGTATTTTTGTTGGAAAGCCTCCCATATTTCTTTTGATGTTTCTGCAGAAGCAATGATTTCAAATGTCACTTTATTAAGACCTTGATAAATGATGGTCTTTGCTTTGTTGTCTTTCTTTCTATTGGTTTTGAGGACTTGCTTCTGTACCTCTCGTAAAGCATCTTTTGATTCTTTGGACTCTAGTTCATCATAACCATATTGCACAATGTCTATACACTCTTGTGAACCAAGGAATGCCTTCAATCTGATGCACTAACTATCATAGTTGTCTTTGGTTAGCTTCGGGATGAGTGTTTGTGCATTTTCTATAGTCATTTTGCTCTTTAAATGACTATATCACCTTTTAGGAGTTGAATTTGGCAAAACCGATATCGTAGATGGATCCAGAATGGTCCAAATAGTAGGGAACCAGTCTGACTTTGTAGAAAACAGGTCAACAATGGGGTGAACCGGTCCAAAAATCAATTCGGGTTGTTTGCTGGGTTGAACCGGGAATATTCCAAGGAATATTCTTTTTGACTTTAGAATATGGCTCGAAGCTTGGCTTGGCTTCAGAATATGGCTTGGATCTCGGCTCAGCTTCAGAATATGGCTCGTGGCTTGGCTCGCAGCACGGCTCAAATATGGTGCGCGTGTAGCTCAGTCGTCTTCTTCCTCGGGGAGCATGGGCTACAGTGTTGAAACTTCAGACGGAGAGTGTGGTCCACCCCATGCTCTGATTGATCTGATTTTTGCGTCATTGAGTTCGTATTGATGAGTTGTACACTTTGGAATGATCAAAACTTATTTTTGACAACTTTGAAAATTCAGATATTTCCCAAAAATACCTTTGTTTTCTGACGAACAGGGATTTGATACCAATTGTTGGTGGGAGAAACCACTTATGGTGGCTTTAAAACACTTAGAGGGGATAAAACACATTGTTTTATTTCAAGAACAAAGCTTACAATAACATAAACAAAAGCTTACAACAACCCCTCACTCTTTCTCTCTAGTGTTTTTCTCAATCTCTTCACATATAATTGCATAAGTTTAGTTATCTATTTATACACGAAATCAAAATAATAAAATTAAACCTTCAAATGTAAAGACGGTTGTGGCCGACGGTGTAAAAGCGACCGACAGCTGGATGGTTGGACGGTAAAAGCTGGTGGTTGATTTCCTTAATCTTCTAGATTGAGTTTACTTTCAGAAAAAAGTGGTGGCTATGGAAATTCAGAAACGGAGATATCTGAAAGAATTTCGTAGACTGAGAGTGCAAAGGGAGCAAGAAGGACTTTTGGAAACACTTTTGAGAACCATTTCAGGTCAAGAAGATCACATACGCCGTTGCTATGCAGCTGATTCCTCGAAGCTTGGCGGCGATCAGTTTGTGATGATGGTTCTGTTAGATGCTGTATTCATCTTCGAGCTCTTCTTGAGGAATGAAGAATACCTGGGCGATACAGGCAAATATCAAGACGATTTTATAATAGGCCAGCCCTGGTTGAGAGCTGCGATTCGACGAGACTTGATATTGCTTGAAAATCAGCTGCCATTCTCTACTCTCAATGAATTATATGATTGTGCAATGAGCGAGACCGCTTGCAAATCTTTCATGTACCTTTCCTGCCGGTACTTTGATAAGTACAAAAAGAATTCCGAGCCCAGCAAAAAAATACTACATTTCACAGATTTGGTGAGATGTTTTCTATCATTCAAGCACCCGGATTTAAAAATTGACAAGGCAGAACCGATAAAAACTCTTTACAGCGCAACAATGCTGCATCAGGCAGGAATTAAGTTCAAGCCATTGCCGAATGTATCCCTGCTTGACATTAGAGCCTGGAAACCTCTCTCGAAAGTTCAGACACCGCTTTCAGATAAGAAAGGTAAGTTACTTATGCCTTCCCTTGAAATCGACAACAATACCGAATGTCTCCTCCGAAACCTCATTGCGTTGGAGCAGTTACATTATCCAGGAGAAGAGTACATTTGCCGTTATGTTAAGCTACTAGATTTTCTGGTGGATCTTGAAAACGATGTGGATTTGCTCATTGAAAATAAAGTTATTGTTAGCAAGCTAGGTGACAGTAAAGCGGTGGCGGAGCTTATTAACGAACTTAGTCGGGAAATGGTAGAAGTTTCATCCGCTTATG